TAAATAAACATTCACTTTTGTGTTTAATGTTTTAAATATAGTTTTATATATTGTTTAAAAATGAGTTTCCCACATTGTATACATTTCAGGGTCCACAAAACCTAAATCTGCCCAGTCTAATACTTTATCGGATAAAAATTACATATTTCTTCCTCATTTGGTTTATCACTTTTCCAGCTTTCATTAAACAACAACAAAAGATAAAACAAAGACAAGATACTATTGATTCAGGTGTACATATACAGAAACATGTTTCAACGCAGCTCTGGCCTATTAAAATCGGAGGGCAGTTTGATGGTTATGCAAAAGCTCGTTCATGATTCATTGCCTTCCAAAGCTCAAACTTTCACTCTTTTTTAAGCCTAGATCTTTGGAAAAAATAACGGGTCCCAGTAGTCATTGCAATGTTTTGAGACTGCAAGTTGTGATAGTGCTAGTAAAAAAAAAATACATGTAATATTTTATTTTCCAATTTTGAGGGAACAATTCTACCAGCCTCACATAGTATCTTAGAGTTGCAAAAGCATTTATGAACAGTTGAATTTGGAAAAGGAAGATTTATTCAATTGCTTCATGTAGTTTGAGAACTAAGATAACATGAGCAATTGTTAACTTCAAAATATTCTATTCTGTTTGTATTGTTTTTACATTAAAATTATACTCTCGTATATATACACATATTGACTATGGCTGGCCATTTCTAGGAATTTGGGTATTTTTGTCAAAGGAAAGCAGCCTATTTTAAGATTTTATTTTACATATTTTATTTTTATTTTGAGGGGAATCCAAATATCTACATCATGAACTTAAATTCCTATAGCTGCCAGAACTGACAGAGAATTAGCAAGGCAGAGCCAAGTTCACGCAAGACTGTCTACGGCGCTCTTATAGCTAAAGACAAACCAAAATATTGACTAGTTCTTCTCAAAACAGCATGTATAAGTTGTGGCTGAAATAAGCCTGATGTAAGAAAGAATACAGATGGCAGTATAATCATAGGCTGGGTCTACAAGATGCCAAACAACCCATTCAAAAGTGAAAAACTCAGTCGATCAGTTGGTGGTTTTGTCTACATGCCACCAAGCAACAGGCTTGACTGATTTCTTCACAAAATTGACTGAGCTTTTGACTATACTTGAGCAGATGTTTTATCACTATGTATATTCAGTCTTAGTTGTCAAATCTATAACTCAAGTAAAGTAAGTTCTCCTACAAATGACGAATTCCTTTCCTCCATCAAAACAACCTGAAACTGTTAAACAAAGCTCATCTGCAGTTTTAAAATCATCTTAGAACCTAGTTCAATGCATGTGTTTCATACAGTATAGAGTATTCCAGACAAGAAATAGAATCTCCCAACTTACATGCCTCGCTTTAGTATTTCATTAATTCATTTGGTATCCTGGCTACTCAAATATTCATTGAAAAGTAACTAAAATCCATTTTACTTTCTTTCTTTTTTTTTTTTAAAGCAACAATTTCCTTGGTGTATCCAATCTATTTGCCATCAATGTATCAAATTACTACTAACATTAACAATTGCGGCCGGGCATGGTGGCTCAAGCCTGTAATCCCAGCACTTTGGGAGGCCGAGACGGGTGGATCACGAGGTCAGGAGATCGAGACCATCCTGGCTAACACGGTGAAACCCCATCTCTACTAAAAAATACAAAAAACTAGCCGGGCGAGGTGGCGGGCGCCTGTAGTCCCAGCTACTCGGGAGGCTGAGGCAGGAGAATGGCGTGAACCCGGGAGGCGGAGCTTGCAGTGAGCCGAGATCCGGCCACTGCACTCCAGCCTGTGCAACAGAGCGAGACTCCGTCTCAAAAAACAAACAAACAAAAAAAAACAATTGCTTTTGACATTTTGTTCTAATTCTTTTTAAAAAGGTCCTTTTCGGGCCAGGCATGGTAGCTCACGCCTGTAATCCCAGCACTGTGGGAGGTTGAGGCGGGCAGATCACGAGGTCAGGAGATCGAGACCATCCTGGTTAACACAGTGAAACCCTGTCTCTACTAAAAATACAAAAAATTAGCCAGGCATGGTGGCGTGTGCCTGTAGTTCCAGCTACTCAGGAGGTTGAGTCAGGAGAATCAGTTGAACCCGGGAGGCAGAGGTTGCAGCGAGCCAAGATTGTGCCACTGCACTCTAGCCTGGGTGACAGAACAAGACTCCATCTCAAACAAACAAACAAACAAAACAAAACAAAACAAAACAAAACTTTTCTCTAAAAGATAAGTCACAAAATCTTTCAAATATGTCATAATTTAAAATGAAAGCAATCAAAAAAGATACTGTTTTAAAACAAGTTCTTTGTGAACAGAGATCTCATGCCTTTGGTCTGTATTGTGTCCTCATCACCTGATATGGTGTGGGCCTCGACAAATGTTTTTTTAATGAATGATTACATGGATTGTAGTATACTATTGTCCTAGCCACTGACAAACTGTGGCCTATGAAGAAGTGACTAGGGGAGTAAATATTCCAACTCACTCCCCTCCTGTCCTACCAATGTACTGCTCATGCTTCTGTTGCCTAAACCCAACTGGAAACCAGAAGGCCAGGGAACGTGTTAAGAGCTCATAGGAAGGTGGAGAGGGGTGGCAAGTGGTTCTGGAGCTGAAAACGGTATCCACTATCTGCACACTGTCGTCCATGCAATCACTGGAGATAAGAAGCTAGATGTACATGATGATTCTTATGATTTTCACAAACACACTAATTACAGACATACATATATACACATGTATATTTATGTATATAATTGACACATGTTAGATAGATAGATCAAAATGCTCGCAAAACCTACACACAGTTGATTTCTTCCCAAATCCCTTGAAAATATTCTGCCAGATAATCTTTAAATTTCTTTCCAACTATATTATTCTTTGATATGGACTAATGTGAATGCCTTGAAACACCATTTACCTTTAAAAGAAACCAAAAACTTCTATTTAATTTTAAAAAACAAAATATGTTTTTTAAGAAGCTAGAAAATATAAAAAAGGGTAGATGAGAAGCATACTCATTCATATGCAATGCTTCTAGGAGCCAATAGATGTATTTTTTCTTAGTTCACAAGGCAGTCGTCGGGAAAGAAGATGGTTTTCTGGGTCTGTCTCTAATCACTTCCCTTCTTTCTGATTTATGTCCATCTTCCATTCACCATTCTTTATATGCTGTCAGTTTTCTTCTTTTCAAGCACAAAGAACAGGCAAGAGCCTGAATGGGGAACAAGCAAAGGACTCCACTCTGCGAAACTGACTCCGAAAATGTTTACTGCATCGGCATTAATATCTTCCAAAGAAAAGAGCACCTGCCCATCTTTTGAGACCACAGCAGCAATTGCCTTTATTCAAAGTTACCTGTAACATGCTCTAGGGGACGATCTCTACATGCTTAATACACAGGTGTTTTTGCAATTTTAACAGTGGTCTGATAGGGGAAATGCAACTTTTATCGTTATAAATTTCTAGATTACATTATGTTTTCAGCTAAGCAGTAGATGGAGTCTGACTTAACCCAAGGACCTCTTCCCAGTTTGTGGGGATGTCTTTTTTTTTTTTTAAACCTTCACTATAAAACCAGAAAAAGGAAAACTTTCTTAACTTACTCAAAGTATGTGCAAACTACTTCTTCAAAGCTCTGAATTTCCTGAGCCTGACTTTTAAATAAAACTCAGCAAAACAGGAGAAATTGAAAGGATCAGGGAAAGAAAAAATCATAAAGCATTTATTTTCAGGTTGAATAAGAAATTCTGTTTTGTTAAACAGAAGCAAAGTTTCCGTAGCCATTCTCCACCACCCACACCCATAGCCCTTTCTTCTGAAGCATGAATGTTTGCTCTAACCATTAAAGAAGACAGATGCAAACCCTGTTTCCGTAAGAGCTAAATTTTTTATACATTATGTTAATAATAAGCACAAGCTGCAACTATAGAGAAACCTCTTACAAATTTCCTGAAATCACTCATCTAAATACTATGCTGTAGCTAAAACTATGCTATATTAAAGATCTTGAGGAAGAAAATGTTAGGTACCATTACAAGTATCTTATTTGTCTAATTTGTTAAAACACATCAATTTTTAAAAAGAAGCTTTTAAAGCAGTGATCCTACAATATATCTCCTTTGCTCAGTGTGATGAGAAGCCAACGGAGTTGTTTTAAAATCAAACAGGAGCAATTCTTTCTTTTACTTTTCCCATGACTTTTACCCCACTCGAATAAATTGTCATTAGATGCGGAATGTTTGTATGATTAATTCAGGATGCCAACTACTATATGATTCACAGAAGGCAGAAGAAATGCCAGCGCTTTCATAACACAAAATGACACATGTTTGAGAATACTATGGTTCCCTCACAACAGCTAGGAAATGTTTTCAGAGAAAAAAAAACAAAAAACTTTAAACCTGAAGTCGAGCAAACGGACAACGTAAGAGAGTGGTAATGGACTCATTCATAGCTCTTCTTCTGTTAACATTAGGTTCGAATTTACTTAGTAATTCTTTACTATTTGAGGAACTTGGTGAAGATTTTGTTTCAACCAAGAATAAACTGAAGTACAAATGATTTAAAGTCTTGCCAAAAAAATAAAAACATCTCTCCTAGTTGTATCACGTATCATGAATATTTTGGCTATGTTGGGATACACAAACAAATGGAGAATTGAAGTAAGTTGTCTTGAAAGTCAAGAAAATAAAAAGCAAAATGTTTTAAGATTTATTATCAGAATGTAGATGCTTTGTTTGATTTTGCTGGAACATTTGTTTTGTATTTTATTGGGCCCCTTTATTTGGATAATTGCCTTAATTCATCACTTTACATGCCCAGACAGACAATTAGTTAATAAGTTTATGTTAAGCACCTACTCTGTGTCAGATTTGGAATTATGAGTAAGGATCCCATTTAACTTCAAGATTTGCAGAGGTGTTAACCAATGACATTTCAACAGAAAGAGAGCAAGTATTACTAAAACGATTGGACAGCTATAGCACTTACCAGGTTTTTTAAACTTTAAAAATAAAGCTCTTATCTCCTAGTGCAAACATCCTCATTCCAAACACAAATGTATTGAAGAGGGTGGGTGAACAGGTGAGGTTGTATCCACATGGAAACTGTGAACTATTTAAAACTGCAGGCATACTCCCGGAGAGCTGCTTTGTCCTGAGGTGTCCACAGACTTCCAATGCAGACTCCCTGAGGAGTCTGTGAGGAGAGGATGCCTTATTGTTATCTCTCCATTGGGTAGTCTAACGTGGCACAAAGAGTATCATCAGGTTCTTCCTTACCTTCTGAGACCTTGGGGAACCCTGTTTGCTTCTTTCTTGGCCTCCAAGAGGAGTCAGCATCAAGGGAAGAAACCAGAAAGATAGAGCACAATATGATTGTTTCAGGAGAGACGCATGCTTGGCCCAGGGTATTATTCAATTAGCCTTCCTCCAGGTAAGAGAAATGCTGTATGATAAAGAGCAAAGGATCATCAACCTCTGGTCTTGAATGATAGGAATCACATCACATGAACAGAAATTGTCTTTAAACCTTAAACTTTCTCCAACACTAGCCTATGTTTTCTTCGATTTTTACTACTTTGGAGATCATCTGTACCGAAGTATAATAAAAAGGCAATTCAGGAGAACTACTAATTTAAAAGGGGGAAAAAAGCAAAAGCCAAAAAAAAAAAAAAAAAAAAAAAAAACAGGCCTTGAGAGGGGACACAGCTTGGCATCAGGTCACTGAGTGTATTCATTATTTGTCCCCATTACCATGTTATGTCTTAATTACTCTGGTCTGGCTTCCTAGCTGGGGTCACTATGTTACAGCTGGTTTTCTGCCCAACTCTAATTAATAAAGCCTCATTTAGTATCCAAGTTTATTGTAATAAACCTCTGCTGAGAGATATAGCAGAAATAAAAGGGGGAAAAAAAACCCTAGAAATTATCAGAGTTGTTCTAACGCTAACCTGGCACCATAAAAGGTCTTAGTTCAGGCCTTCTCTAGGTTACCTTTAACCTGGAAAGGACTTCCATTTGATTTCATTTGAAATTTCTGGCATAATTAAGTACAGTGGTTAGATTTCACCCCAAGAAAGAGAAGGGACACTCTTCCTTCTCTCCTGAATACATCGTTTGGAATTTTTGAAACGGATTATTCATTCATACTTTTTGCATTCAAATCAATATTATTTTGTGAAACAAAAACAATGCTTTCAAATGCAATATAAAAAATATACAATCATCAGTTTTCTTTTTCCTGTGGCACTAATTCTCTTAGTTTTCTGACACATCAAATCAAGACAAATTATATACTAGCCTTTTCTAATTTATTACATGTAATCTCAGCCAATAAAATTTTGCAAATTAAAAAAACCCACCATCAAAATATCTCAGCACTATTATGTATGTCTCTGTCTCTGTCACTCTCTCTCTCACACACACACACACAGACATACACACACAAAACCAATTCTATTTATTAGAATTCACACAGCTCCTGAACAGATAGCTCATCTGCATTTTATCAGGTGTCTCTATAATTAAAGCTTATTGTAAAGTGCGATATTATTGGTATATTTTATTACTTGTCTATGAGAAGCTGAACGAAGTAAGAGGCATAAATGAATTCAGTTTTACAGTACTTTGTTTTAAACAAATGTCACTACCTACACACACATACCTAATTATCAGTTCTTACACATTCTGCCAAATATCAAACCTATAGTTCATAAGCCACACACACGACAGGCGGTAAATATATTCCCCCTAATTTAAAATTTTATTGCAGAATACCCTCTGCACTATGTTAACCTACACTAAATCACACCCTACACTCTCAGCTTTACTGGTGTTTACCTACTTCTGATTCAAAAGGAAAACAGTCCTAACTCCTGTTTCTACATATCTATAGTAATAAAAATTTTTAAAAGAGAATGACTATATGTAAGAAACGAATTCAAAACAATGGCATAAAAGGGTTGACTTTAACCGTAACAGCGAATAACAGATTAATCCAAGACACTGTTTTTTGGTGTGGTTTCTGAAGGTTCTGCGTTCTGAATGTCAGGGTTTCTTTGCATATTTTTGTACATTTCAAAGGCTTCCGCAGCAGCCACGCAAAAATTAACATAAAGATGAAGGCTCTCGCAGATGACTGGGCAGTTGGTTTGAATGCACGTAGGCTATGATTGTACTATATACAATTTTTCTATTCAAGCACATGTAAGTGAAGGCCAGCACATCCTTTTTGCAATGGGGAAATTCACTCAGGGGAGAACTCATAAGAGGAGAGGTCGCTAGTGCGGCCTCATTCTCCCATCTACAGGCAACTGTTTTGCCATCAACCTAAAGGAACAACTTCTCAGAGCTCAGTCTCAGCACAGGCTCAGTTCCACTTAACCCACGATTCTTCACAGGTGCTTTGTTGTCTTCCAGCAGATATCATTTATTATCATGGCAGACAATGGGATGTGGTGAAGATGGACACGACGGTCATGTCCCATTTGCCAGTGTGAATTATCCTCCGATCCTGTCCTCTAGTCGTCGTGGGTTCTGAGTGCCCCATTTTGAAAAAGAGTCTGAAGCCATTAGAACAAAAAGCACTGGAAGGGCTTGGGCTGCTAAAGGCTACATCTGGGCTCAGCAACATGCATACTAATAACATCATTACGGCCGAGTGGTTTGGAGAGCGTGTTTACTTTGTTGTGGTTGCTGTCACCTTCTACAGCTGAATTGTTAATATGTGGTTTTAAATTCAAATAGCACACAGGGCTAATTTTCTTGTATTTGCCCAAAAAATTAGGTTACATAGTTCATCTAATTCTCCCTCCACTTTTTCATGTGTGGGTGGTACTCCTTGTAGAGAGTACTTCTTTTCCATGACATTGAACTTGAACCTGACTGACCTTTCTATAATGAGTGAATTGAAAACATCTCCCTTTGGAATGTGGCTTGTAGATACTGGCTACGCCAGTTTTTCTGCATTTGATGAATTAAAGGGGCAGAGTCCTTTTCACAGACCTAGACCATAGGAGTTATTTAACAGGACAAAAAAGAAAAAAAGAGAGAGAGAGAAAGGAAGGAAGAAAAGAAGCAAGGAAGGAAGGAAAGGGGGAGGAAGGGAGAAAGGAAGAGAGAGAAAGAAGAAACAAAGCTTCTAAAAGCTTTTTACAGAGGCACTTCGCTTACTTAGAAACCTACCATTAATTTTAACAAAAAGTGATTAGGCAAAGGTTTGGGTTCTCTTGGGTGTGTTGGTCTTCTGTGGGTGGTAGTGTTAACCTTTTTTCCCTCCCCACCACCATTTAAATATTTAAGAAAGAGCCTGCCACTTTAAAGTTCCACGTATTTCTAACAAATACTTAACAAAGATTCGGATATTTGTCTCCTTCAATTCAGATATTACGGCCCTCCTCCTCATTGTTCTTTCTCAAATCAATCCTCCCCCACCTAAAATCAAAGTTAAATTGAGAGGCACTTGGAATCAGAGCTACTGAATAATCAGTTAGCAGATTTCTTCTCTTATGCTTTCATAGCCCACGGATTCATGCTTCTTCATTTTTTTAAGGGGGAAAAATACAGAATTGATGGAAGACAGCTGAAAACAGTCAGCAGCGGAAAGTCCAGCACTACCAACATCTGATCTTAATCATAATATATCCTCTGTCTGGTTTGTCAAAATCTATCACTCAAGAACACCTTCAATGGACAGTAATTTGAGGTGTGGCTTATTAGATCACACGATCTTATGAATAATAAAAAGTTATGGAAAATTGCATCCAGGCCTGCTATCCAATTTTCAGTGGTGTCACCCACTTTAAAGTAAGGCAGCATGTTTATGCATGATTTCTGTTTCATATGTATTGACTAGATCATTTTCTCTGTTGTCCTGAGAATTGATGACACACACTGTATTAAGAATGATGACCTCCACAAGGGGGATAACACTTCCTCTAGATTACACTATTGTCAAAACATATTGAAATTTTCTTTACACATGTTACTGCTGTATTTTTCTGCCTGAAAGACCCTGTTAAAGTGAAATCTTGTTGTATTTTTTTTTTGCTAAATAAGATCCGAGGGACAGGTGTTGAATTTTTCTTCTCTCCTAATACTTTTGTGGAATGACCAATGAAAAATAATAACATCATCCTTCAAAACAATCCCTGTCAGGACTGTGTCAACCCTTCAGGGCAATTTTGATAACCTTCTTGGAGGAATTTGCAAGATACAACTTCCTTTTGCGTGCTTAAGGATATCACTGTGTAGGAGCCAAGGAACTCCATTATGTATGGATTCTAATATTCTGATGGATAATAGGCAGCTGAAAGAAATCCAAATAGTGAAAAGCTTCGATGAAGATTGTTTTCTCTGCCACTTTCCCTGACAGAGTCTCACGGAGGGTGACATTATTCTTCACTGCACCCCCCCAGCACACGTACACCTCCTTTTTAGGAATCTACACAGAGCTCAACTTGCAGTGATGTAACACCACTGCTGATACCATGGGTATGTGAAAATAGTGTGCAATATTACTTTCTCCCTTGCACTGGATGAAAATGCAAATACACCTTCTGTGAGAGAGTGACCCCTTTGTGGCCAGTGACACTGCACAGCACACGTTGAGATGTCTTTGGACAGGAAAAAAAAAAAAAGCAAGACAATTATGGGGCCAAAATAAAACCAGGTTATTGATCCTAGAAAAGTGTCCATATTATTTTTCAAAATACCAAAGATAGGCGAAAAAAAAAAGTATTATAAAATTATGGGATCATTTTGAAACAAAGTTGTAAATAAACATTAGATGAAACCTCCCATGTTTAAGTGTATTCTCATTCCTTCTCTGGTCATCTTTCCAAAGACTCTTGATATATAGTTGTCCCATGATAGTGGATGATGCAACATAAAGATGAAAGACTGATTGGAAATCCACATCTGAAGTATATGTGTTGTGCAGAAAAAAAAAAGTAGCATATCAAAGACTAACTGTCAAGAGGCATTAAGAATAGAAAACAGAGATGTGTGAGAGGGAATTTTACGTTTTAATTTAATTTAATTTAATTTACGTGACTTTTGTATTGTAGCCCATTGAACTGACAGGAAATGAAGACAGTGCCTATCTGACTTGAGATATGTGAGGCTTGTAATTGAAATTAATTATATGTTCTTTACATTTTCCATTTCCCTTTTAAAGTTGGACAGGTGGGAATGCTTTAGCTCTTAGGTTACAGAGTCGAGTTCGAGCTCTGTAAATCCTTTACAGTCAACCCTCAGGCTTCCAGAGACCGCCCCCACCCCCAACCCCCCCCAGCCAGTTCTGGTCTGAAACATTCCTTCCCGACCTCACCCTGCTTAAAATCAACTGGCCCCATCCCCCAGGTCAGGCTGGCTGGCTGCCCATCCACACATTTATGTCTGCCTTTTGAGTGTTTTCAGAAGGCCATTAAATTGTGCCTTGGCAGG